AGATAGGAATTGAAGCACAAAGAGAGCATCATAAAACATGTGACAAACACACTTAAGTCTAGCATACTTCCTATGCATAGGCATCTTGTAAGCAAACAAATTATCAAGGGAAGCAAAAACTAGCATATGCAAGGAAGAACAAAGAGATGATAGCAATCTCAACATGAAGAGAGGTAATTTAGTAACATGAAAACTTCTACAACCACATTTTCCTCTCTCATAATAATTACATGTAAGATCATAAGCAAATTCAACAATATAGCTATCACAAAACATATTCTTAACACGATCCACATGTATGCAAAGTTGACACTCTTCCAAAATAGTGGGATTAACATTAACTAAAGTCATGACCTCTCCAAACCCACTTTTATCAAAAACTTCATAAGATTGAACATTATCCAAATATGTGGGATCTAAAGTTGACACTCTTCCAAACCCACCTTCAATATTATTGCAAACACTATTATCAATCTCATATTCATCATGGGGATTAAATAAATTTTCAAGATCATAAGAAGAATCACCCCAATCATGATCATTGCAACAAGTAGAGGACATAGCAAAACTAGCATCCCCAAGCTTAGGGTTTTGTATCTTATTAGCACAATTGACAACAAAAGATTTTATAATAAAATCATTCCAATCATGCTTTTTATTCAAAGATCTATCGTGAGTCACTTCACGGATTTCAGGCAAAACCTTATAAAGATAATCTAGCGCATCCAAATTACTAGGAATTGGTTTATCATAATTGGATCCCTTAAAAAGATTGGCAAGCGGATCAAGATCCATGGACTTTTAGCGAGCGAAGATGCAAGCAAAAAGAAGGTACAAGCAAACATAAGATCGAACGGAAGAAGGGCGAATAAAACAGCAAGGGTGAAGTGGGGGAGAGGAAAACGAGAGGCAAATGGCAAATAATGTAATGTGAGAGATAGGGATTGTGATGGGTACTTGGTATGTTGACTTTTGCGTAAGCCTCCCCGGCAACGGCGCCAGAAATTCTTCTTGCTACGTCTCGACCTTGCGTTGGTTTTCCCCGAAGAGGAGAGGATGATGCAGCACAGTAGCGTAAGTATTTCCCTCAGTTTTTGAGAACCAAGGTATCAATCCAGTAGGAGGTCACGCGCAAGTCCCTCGTACCTGCACAACACGATAGCAACTCGCAACCAACGCTTAGGGGTTGTCAATCCCTTCACGGTCACTTACGAGAGTGAGATCTGATAGAGATAATATTTTTGGTATTTTTGATAGATAGATGCAAAGTAAAAAGTAAAGGCAAAGTAAAAACAAAGCAAGTAAATAAAGTGATATAGATTGATATAATGAGAATAGACCCGGGGGCCATAGGTTTCACTAGTGGCTTATCTCAAGAGCATAAGTATTCTACGGTGGGTGAACAAATTACTATTGAGCAATTGACAGAATTGAGCATAGTTATGAGTATATCTAGGCAATGATCATGTATATAGGCATCACATCCGTGACAAGTAGATCGAAACGATTCTGCATCTACTACTATTACTCCACTCATCGACCGCTATCCAGCATGCATCTAGAGTATTAAGTTAAAAACAGAGTAATAAGCAAGATGACATGATGTAGAGGGATAAATTCATGCAATATGATAAAAACCCCATCTTGTTATCCTCGATGGCAACAATACAATACGTGCCTTGCAACTCTTTCTATCACTGAGTAAGGACACCGCAAGATTGAACCCAAAGCCATGCACTTCTCCCATTGCAAGAACTACCAATCTAGTTGGCCAAACCAAACGGATAATTCGAAGAGACTTGCAAAGATAACTCAATCATACATAAAAGAATTCAGAGAAGAATCAAATATTTTCCATAGATAATACTGGATCATAAACCCATAATTCATCGGTCTCAACAAACACACCGCAAAAAGAAGATTACATCGAATAGATCTCCACAAGAGAGGGGGAGAACATTGTATTGAGATCCAAAAAGAGAGAAGAAGCCATCTAGCTACTAGCTATGGACCCGAAGGTCTGAAGTAAACTACTCAAACTTCATCGGAGGGGCTATGGTGATGATGTAGAAGCCCTCCATGGTGGATGCCCTCTCCGGCGGAGCTCCGGAACAGGCCCCGAGATGGGATCTCATGGATACAGAAGGTTGCGGCAGTGGAATTAGGTTTTGGCTCCGTGTCTCGTCTATTGGGGATACGTAGGTATATATAGGAGGAAGGAGTACGTCGGTGGAGCTCCGAGGGGCCCACGAGGTAGGGGGGCGTGCCCAGGGGGGAGGGCGCGCCCTCCACCCTCGTGACCGCCTCGTGGCTTTCTTGACTGAGGGTCCAAGTCTCCTGGATCTTATCTGATGAGTAAATCACGTTCCCGAAGGTTTCATTCCGTTTGGACTCCGTTTGATATTCCGTTTCTTCGAAATACCGAAATAGGCAAAAAACAGCAATTCTGGGCTGGGCCTCCGGTTAATAGGTTAGTCCCAAAAATAATATAAAAGTGGAAAATAAAGCCCAATATAGTCCAAAACAGTAAATAAAGTAGCATGGAGAAATCAAAAATTATAGATATGTTGGAGACGTATCACACACCAGGACTTCGAGGGTTTCCTGCCCGGGCACGGAGTCGCCTTATAACTCGGCCTTATGGTTGTCGAATAGTAGCCCACCTGTCCGGCCCATAAAGGATAGGCCGGTTAGTCCGAGGACCCCCTAGTCCAGGACTCCCTCAGCCATTGATGGGGAAAGTTGCATGGAAAAAATTTCCTACGAAACACCCAAGATCTAATCTATGGAGATGCTAGCAACGAGAGGGAAGTGTGTCTACGTACCCTTGTAGACCGAAAGGGTTAATGATCTAATGATCGTGGTTGGTGTAGTTGCACTCGCGTCACGATCCAATCCGATCCAAGCATCGCACGAGCAACACCTTTGAGATGTGCGCACGTATGGCTCTGTGATGTCTCCTCCTTCTTGATCCAGCAAACGAGGTAGAAGAGGCAGATGGGATCTGAACCAACACGACAACGTGATGGTGGTGGCAACGAAACTCTGGCAGGGCTACTCCAAGCACTGACTGGATGAGGAGATGGAGGGAGGGAGAAAGGCTGGCGGCTAGGCAAAGGGATGAGCCTCACGCTGCGCCCCACCTTATATAGGGGTGTGGGAGGGGCGAATGCCCCTCCTCCAAGCGAGGGGGGGGATGCCCCCTTTGACCGCATGGGCCTGATGGGTTGTGGCCGCCCTGTCCCATGTGGGCTTAGGGCGCCCATTAAGGGTCCATGTGGCCCCTTCGGGGTAGGTGGGCCCCTTCAGTGGTCCCCTGGAACCCTTCGGGACTTCTCGGTACACTGTCGGCAAACCCCTGAACTTTTCTGGTACTCCGAATATCATTTCCCATATATAAATCTTTACTCCGGAGCTCCTCGTGATGTCCCAGATCCCATCCAGGACTACGAACTACTTTTGGACTCACCATATGAATATCCCAATACTACCCTAGCGTTATTGAACGTTAAGTGTGTGACCCTACGGGTTCGAGAACATGCAGACATGACCGAGACTCCTCTCCGATCAATAATAGTTACTAGGACCTGGATGCCCATATTGACTCTATCGGTTTGAACCACAATGCCAAGAATTCAGATAGTCCCATATACAATTTCCTTTGTACGGCGATATGTTACTTGTGCGAGATTCGATCGTCGGTATCGCCATACCTAGTTCAATCCGTTAGCAGCAAGTCTCTTTACTCATTCCGTAATATAAGATCCCCATGACTAAACACATTACTCACATGCTTGCAAGCTATTCATGATGTTGTATTACTGGGAGGGCCTAGAGATATCTCTCCATCACAGGGAGTGACAAATCCCAGTCTCGATCTATACAACCTAACAAACACTTTTTGAGATACCTGTGGAGCACCTTTATGATGACCAGGTTACGAAGTGATGTTTGATAACCCACAAAGTATTCTTTCGTTATTCGAGAGTGGCACGATCTCATGGTGTAAGGAGCAGATACTTGACATGATGAAAATTGTAGCAATTGAACTAAGTGATACGATCTGATGCTAAACATACGCTTAGATGTGTCTATCACATCATTCTCTTAATGATGTGATTCCGTTATCAAATGACAACTCATGTTTATGGTTAGGAAACTTTAACCATCTTTGATCAACGAGCTAGTCTAGTATAGACCTACTAGGGACACAATATTCATTTATGTATCCACACATGTATTTAAGTTTTCGATCAATACAATTTTAGCATGGATAATAAACATTTATCATGAACAAGGAAATATGATAATAACATCTTTATTATTGCCTCTAGGACATATTTCCAACACATATATGGGCTCACGTTGACAACCAGTAGATGAGCCAGCTATTTTTTCTTTCAAATGTATTTGTGAAATTTAATTTCTATTTGGCTTGTAAACTACGAGATATCTGTATTTCTTTGAATTATGTGAACTTGGGCCAACTCTTTTGATATGTGGCAAAAAGAGCTCAAAATGACCGCATACCGAGCGCCAGAACGAAAATGCGTCCGTGTGTTGGGTGCACGACCAACCCAAACGCGGAAGGGACAGACAAGCCGACCCAAACGAAAAAAAACGGACAAACCGTGAGTGCGTTTAGGTTGATGCATTGGAATTGCTCTTATAAGACTAAAAATGCAAACTCCCCTTGTTTATGCGACCACAAACCTCCTCCTCTAGACTTGTGTCAAAAGTTGCCAAACAGGCTGTCAAGGGACCAAGATGAATGTGTGCATCAAAAGCGAGCTTATTCCCCTGTTCATACGGTCAGCTCCCTGTCCAAAGAGGATTACTAGTTGGTAGCCAAAGGTTGGTGAGGCAGCGCGACTGTGACAGTTCGACTAGCTAGAGTCACCGGGCATGGTTTGAACACGAAGAAAACGCAGCTACAGGCGCGCGCGGCGGAGCCTTGCGGTTGCAGGGGAGAGAGGGGAGAGGGTCCCTCCAACCGCGACATGCTGCCGCGCTCCCACTCGCACCCGGCGCGGCGGCGCTCCGGCCTCGGCCCGCAGCTCTGCGCCGTCGCCGCGGCGCTGCTCCTGCTCCTCTCCCTCGCCGTCCTCCACTCCCGCCTCTCCTCCTCCTCGCCCTTCCCCCTCTCCTCCTCGTCCCGCTCCCCCGCCACCGACTCCGCCACCACCAACTCCACCGCTCTCCTCGCGGACGACGACGACGACCCCGTGCCCGCCGCGCTCGACCCCGACCTCACCCTCGCCGCTGTGACCACAGCTGCCGCCACCGAGGGCGCCGCGGCTACCAACCCCGACGACGACCGCATCGACGAGCTCGACGTGCTCGACGAGGACGACTCCTCCGCCATCACCGACGCGGCCGACGACGTGCCCGCCTCCGCCACCGCCGCGTCCTTCCTCTGGGACCACGCCGCCGGCGTCGCCCGCCTCCCCTTCCGCCTCCCCCCCGCTGGCGACCCCCCGCCCGCGGGGTTCCCCCACTTGGACTCCCCGCGTCGGATCGCCGCCGCCGCCTTTGGATCCGACGACGAGCCTGTGGATCTGGACCTGCGGGTGGAGATCTCGTCCATCAGCGGCATTGAGGACGCGCTGCTCCTCAAGCCCGCCTCCGGCCGTAGCGAGACGCGGCTCCGCTCTGGTTGGGCGCGGTGGCTGGAGGGGAAGGCGGACTACCTCCGGCGCGATCGGATGCTCAGGTCCAACTTGGAGTTCCTCAATCCTCGCAACCACCCTCTGCTCCAGGACCCGGACAGTCCTGGTCTGACTTCACTCACCCGTGGCGACCGCATGGTGCAGCGGATGCTCATCTCAGAAATTGAGAAAGACTCATCCAAGAATTTTGCCCGGCAGAGCCTCAAGTCGTCCGACAATGAGCATGGAATAGGAGCCATTCTGAAGGAGGAGCCGGAAGAAGTTAGGAGGTGGGGACACTTTCCAGGAATTGATCCACATTTGGGGTTCTCAGAGTTCATGGAAAGGTTCTTTGAGCATGGCAAGTGCTCCATGAGGGTGTTCATGGTATGGAACAGCCCTCAGTGGGCGTATGGTGTTCGGCACCAGCGTGGGCTCGAGAGCTTGCTCCTGCAGCATCCTGATGCCTGTGTGGTCATGCTGTCGGAGACCCTGGAGCTGGAGGCCTTCCATGAGTTTGTGAAGGAAGGGTATGTTTCATAACCTGCTCATTCACTGATGCTTCTTTATATTTAATTTGCGAGTGACAACTGAAGTCATACAACTTTGTAGTGTTCGTAATAACTAGTATTTAATTAATGAGATTAGCCAACTGTGAATAACAAACGACGGAAAGATAATACTTCCAACATGAAAGCGTGAAGTAACTAGAACTAGAACCACTTGGTGCTACACGGTATTTTTCTTTCTTTATACTACTCCCTCCGTTCCAAAATAGATGACCCAATTTTGTACTAAGTTAGTACAAAGTTGGGTCATCTATTTTGGAATGGAGGGAGTAGTATATTTACCAGCTGTTTGAGGAAATGTGTCACTTCTGGGGAACGAACACCATGTTTTAGAACTATTGCTGGCATAAATGTACATGTACTTAGTAGAAACTGTCGTTGAAGGGAATTGAAATCTCTAGTCTCTGTCATTGCATTTCGAATCCCACCCTTCACATGGTCATTCTCTTTTCTAACCCTTGGATTAAAAGTGGCTTAGGTCCACACCTGTGCAGAATATTGTCTTCGCTATTTTAGTTCTTAGCGTATACTCCCTCCGTTCCGATTTACTCGTCGTGGTTTTAGTTCAAATTTGAACTAAAACCACGACGAGTAAATCGGAATGGAGGGAGTAGAAGTTTATTGTGTTCTTATCCTCCCAGATTATTCCTTACTAACCGGAGAATAAATTACTAATTGAACCCCAAGCCATCCAATAAAGTATTCATGAGTAGGATAACGGTACATTATTGTGCTTGCGTTTGCATATTTGGTCAGCGCCACACAAGATTCTAACTTAGTGTTTAAAGTATTATATTCTGTTTACCTATACTATTAACATTAGCTGGATTAGTTGTACAAGCATAAAAAACATGCCCTCACCTCTTAGATTACTGCTCCCCAGCTCTGTTAGCATTGGCACATCAAGTGATATCTCAGCTAGCTATGTGTGGATGATACAGATTGGACCTAGTCTGAATTAATTAACTTTCTTAAATATCACAAATGGTGCACCTTTAGGTGCTTTAACCTTTGCTATTTGCTATCCAACGTAGTTGTTTGCTGCAACTTTGCTTGCCTTTCTAGATTTATCCACTTCAAAAGGTCATTTGATGGTTGTAATCTGCATATTAGGTCAGCAAGATCCATTCTCTAGTAGTCCGTAAATACGTAATTGATGATCTGGAATCCCAAGGAGCATTTTGCAAAGAGCAATACTCAATTAGTGTGCGCCTTTTTTTTCTGGAGTTTGTGCTGCAGTATTTATATGTAAATCATACACCATACCATGAATTTTACATGGTTAATATACTGGAAGCTCATTTTTTTTTTACCAATGGATACAAACACATATATGGACAACTGAATACCCAACAAAAGTAAATAGCATCAATTAGTGAATCATCGTGAAGGCTCTTTGTTTCAATGGCTGGTGTCCTTTTTGGTGACTTATTGCTCGATTACCATTCCAAAAAGAGCAAACCATAGGCGGAGCGCTAGGCGCCGGACGACCGGCCCAAATTTTGGCCGGTCGCCGTGCAGCCACATGATGTGCGCGCTCGTAACCACAGGATTCAGCCGCTACGCCTTTGTGCATGCCCTCTTCTTGCTAGCGGCAGTTTCTCCTAGCCCCTGCTTGGTTGTCTCCCCCGTGGCCTCCAGCTTGTAGCTCCATGGCACCGCTCGTCGGGTCGCCGGGGCCCCTTGCCGGCTCGACAGTTGCAGCGCTGGTGCCCATGTGGTTCCACCCCCTATGCAGCAAATCGTGCTGTCGGTTCCAGCAACCAGTCCACCGGTCGTAGCATGCTTGCCCAGTTGGTGCTCCGCCATAGGCATCGCCGTAGCCGGTTGCAGCAACGGTGAGTGCCGGTTCCCAGCACCCTTCCTAGCCGTGGTCACAACCAGAAGCTCCGGTGGTCCACCCCCCCGCGCGGTTATAGCATTCCCTGGTGCCGTCACGCAAGGTTGCAGCTCGCCATGGCCGGTTGTAGCTTCCATCAATCACGGCTGCAGCACGGGCCAACGCCACTTGCAGCTTTTTCCACTGTCGGTCGTGACATGAGTCGCCGGTTCTAGCATCTGCCTCCGCCGGTTCCAGCATGGCTGTTGTCGATCCCAGCACCGAGTGGCTGCCAACGCAGCATCGCCGCTGGTCAGTTCCAGCAAAAAGACGACCAATGTTTTAGCATCGCCATTGGCCGGTTCCAGCACCGCCACCCGCAGATTGCAGCACCGTCTGCGACGAATCACAGAACCACCACCCAGCAACACCACAGGCCCCAGCAGCGTCGGCAGCAGGGAGGAGAGGGTGGGGGGCAGCAACGGCTTGGACGGGGAAGAGAAAAAAAGGGAGGAGGTCGCGGCCACATCTGTACCGCTCTCACGGGACAACGACTTTTACATGGGGAGCTCGTCCATGGAGGGCAGATGGAGAGTACTCCTGTGAAAGAAGGAATCGAGACAGGAGAGGAGCTGGGGAAGAAAGGAAACAAGTGGATGCGCGTGGCCCGGAACGGATAAGGCACAGACGAAGACTTCTTTCGCGGGTCCCACCGAACACATGCTGCTACACAAGCGAGGCGGCGTGAGCATCGCTGGACCGATTTGCGTGGATATGGAGTGTACGATCTGATGGAATCAAACGACGCACACTCGACTGGCGCAAGACTTGTCCGATGACTGGAAGGGATCGTTTCCCAAATCATAGCTAATCTGTTCACATTCTTTCTGAAGATTGTGCTCGAGTATTTGTTTAAAGCATACACCATATCACGAATTTTACAAGGTAATATATTAGAAGCTCTTTAGATGAATAACTAATGATTTACCAAGAGAAGGTGGTTTTTACTGATGGAGTGTATTACATATGTACAACTGAATACCCGCCTATAAAGTAAGTAGCATAAGTATTGGATCATTTTAAATTATCTACCATCTGAAAATTTCTATCTTTTATTTCAGTGGCTGCATTGTTTATAAGGCGTCCTGCCTTAGACACTTAGGCATCGCTTAGGCGATAAGGCGCCCTGGCAGTGCCTTACTAATATGCCCGCTTTAGGCGCTTAGGCATCAGAGTGGCTGGTTTCCTTTGGTGACTTATTGCTTGATTACCAGACATTTGAGATCTTCCGAATAGTCATTGCATCTTATAACATTTCAAAAGCGATATTTTTTTCACTTGCCATCCATGGACAGATGTGTTTTCCGCGCCGAAATGACATCCTTCTAAGATATCATCTATACTTGTGTTGTAAACATGTGAAACATCAGCTATACTAGCTACAGCCCATGGGAACAACGAAAGGTGCTGCAGCCGTAATGGCTATTCAGATAGACATGTTCAAGTAGTTTGGAGAGGATTCTTTTTCTGTTTGATGATGATTCTGTTGTACGCATTCCCCTGTCCAGCCATATGGGCAAGCAATCCAAATACCAACAATTGGCAGCAGAAAGTCCATTACTTGTACGTTTGGTTGATTAGTAGTTCCCTTTTATCTGCAGTTAGAATCCACATTATTGTAGTTACGTTGTTAGGGCTACTGCCTATAAGAATGGTGCGCCATCTATCTCTGAGTTCAAGGATTGAGATAGTCCCTAGTGTGTAAAGTTCTGTCGTCGTCTTCCTTGACCATTCTAGACTCGTTTCTCCCTCAACTGCTGACCAATTTCTCCCTTGACTAGTGCCCCCCTTCATATAGCTTCATTCAGCTTCATGTGTTGCCATCCGACCTCTCGCCAAAGGATGTTTACCTTGTTGCTGAATGTCCATGGCTACCTGTTTACAGGGAAGCCCAAGCCATGTGACCGCTTTTTGTTCCCCCTCTTCTGCGAGTTGTTCCCCCGTATTAGTTTGTCTACAACACCCTCCTTTGCCATGAATATCAATGTGTTTCATATTGGTCTGCTCCCTTCCGCGCCATGTTTATATAGTGACCTACAGTCAAGAGACAGATACACTGAGCTCTGCTACAATTTGTTGATCTTATTTGGTGTTTGTGCACCATGCAACGTCATGCATCTTCTTTACTTGTTTGTAATACTCCTGCGAAATTTGTAGCTCGGAAGGTCTTCTTAGTTATGCCCCCTTTTTTCACCATTTTTTTAGTGGCAGTTCATTTTTTAGTTTTTAAGGCGGACTGGACCCTAGAGCAACTCTAGGAGAAGGAATCCCTGTCTGGTTTTGAATGCCCCATTCTACATGTACATGTGAGTGGTTGGGTGTCCAAATACACTAAATAGGCCTTGTCAAGCTTTCAGCTAAGACACAAGTAGGACATTGATTTGTGTTGTTAGTAACTCTCTGTAACTTAATGTAAGACCTTTTTTGACATAGTGATAATGTCAAAGAACGTCTTATATCAAGTTACAGAGGGAGTAGTATCTACCATGTGAAGGAGCCAAATCATGTGCCCGCAGTTAAATTCTCACTAAATCATACAGCCAAGCTAGAATGTCTATTTGCTTAGAATATATGTACTCAATATTCTGAACACCGTCTTGTATTTAGCGTATATATATGACCATCAATATAATGTGCATTTCATGTTGTAGATCTTATGAATAATTGTTTTCGCTACAGTTGTCAAATGAATAATTGTTTTCGCTACAGTTGTAGATCTTATGAATAATTGTTTTCGCTACTCATAATTAATTTTTCCTCTTTCAGACACAAGGTTGCAGTTGCAGTGCCAAATCTTGATGAACTTTTGGAGGGCACACCAACCCACATTTTTGCATCGGTGTGGTATGAATGGCGGAAAACAGTAAATTACCCCTTGCATTACAGTGAGCTAGTACGCCTTGCTGCTCTTTACAGGTAAGAAAATAATAGTACTGCATACTAGTGCCAACATTTCTTGATTACATGCATAGTTTATTTGACAGTCTGTTAAAACTATCTAGAGAAAAAATGGAACTATTATGCTTTCCAAAAGGTATTATATCCATGTAGAGTTGTGGATGAATCTGCACCAGCAATGAGTAGTCAAGTGAATACACTAGCAATGAATAGTCAGGTAGAACAGTTAGAGTTACGAAAAGAGCCTTTCATTTGGAAACAGTTGACCCCCAATGCCATTGAAAACAGATGAACAGTTAGTTGTTAAATCTAACAACACTCCAGATCAGTTAGAACTTAAAAATACAAGTGTACAACTAACATATAACAAACAACAACAACAACAAACAACAAAGTCTTTAGTCCCAAACAAGTTGGGCTAGGCTAGAGGTGAAACCCATAAGATCTCGTGACCAACTCATGGCTCTGGCACATGGATAGCAAGCTTCCATGTACCCATGTCCATAGCTAGTTCTTTGATGATACTCCAATCCTTCAGGTCTCTTTTAACGGACTCCTCCCATGTAAAATTCGGTCTACCCCGACCTCTCTTCACATTCTCCGCACACTTTAGCCGTTCGCTATGCACTGGAGCTTCTGGAGGCCTGCGCTGAATATGCCCAAACCATCTCAGACAATGTTGGACAAGCTTCTCTTCAATGGGTGCTACCCCAACTCTACTCGTATATCATCATTTCGGACTCGATCCTTCCTCGTGTGGCCACACATCCATCTCAACATACGCATCTCCGCCACACCTTACTGTTGAATATGTTGCCTTTTAGTCGGCCAACACTCAGTGCCATACAACATTGCAGGTCGAACCGCCGTCCTGTAGAACTTGCCTTTTAGCTTTTGTGGCACTCTCTTATCACAGAGAATGCCAAAAGCTTGGCGCCACTTCATCCATTCGGCTTTGATTCGATGGTTCACATCTTCATCAATACCCCCATCCTCCTGCAGTATTGGCCCCAAATATCGAAAGGTGTCCTTCTGAGGCACCACCTGCCCATCAAGGCTAACCTCCTTCTCACACCTAGTAGTACTGAAACCGCACATCATGTACTCGGTTTTAGTTCTACTAAGCCTAAACCCTTTCGATTCCAAGGTTTGTCTCCATAACTTTAACTTCCTATTTACCCCCGTCCGACTATCGTCAACAAGCACCACATCATCCGCAAAGAGCATACACCATGGGATATCTCCTTGTATATCCCTTGTGACCTCATCCATCACCAAGGCAAAAAGATAAGGGCTCAAAGCTGACCCCTAATGCAGTCCTATCTTAATTGGGAAGTCATCAGTGGCGACATCACTTGTTCGAACACTTGTCACAACATTATCGTACATGTCCTTGATGAGGGTAATGTACTTTACTGGGACTTTGTGTTTTTCCAAGGCCCATCACATGACATTCCGCGGTATCTTATCATAGGCCTTCTCCAAGTCAATGACCACCATATGCAAGTCCTGCTTTTGCTCCCTGTGTCTCTCCATGAGTTGTCGTACCAAGAAAATGGCTTCCATGGTCGACCTCCCAGGCATGAAACCAAACTGATTTTTGGTCACGCTTGTCATTCTTCTTAAGCGGTGCTCAATGACTCTCCCATAGCTTCATTGTATGGCTCATCAGCTTAATTCCACGGTAATTAGTACAACTCGAACATCGCCCCTTGTTCTTGAAGATTGGTACTAATATACTCCATCTCCATTCTTCTGGCATCTTGTTTGCCCGAAAAATGAGGTTGAAAAGCTTGGTTAGCCATACTATCGCTATGTCTCTGAGGCCTTTCCACACCTCAATGGGGATACAATCAGGGCCCATCCCCTTGTGTCCTTTCATCCTTTTTAAAGCCTCCTTGGCCTCAGACTCCTGGATTCGCCGCACAAAACGCATGCTGGTCTTATCAAAGGAGTCGTCCAGTTCAATGGTAGAACTCTCATTCTCCCCATTGAACAACTTGTCGAAGTATTCCCGCCATCTATGCCTAATCTCCTCGTCCTTCACCAAGAGTTGGTTTGTTCCGTCCTTGATGCATTTAGCTTGGCCAATATCCCTCGTCTTCCTCTCTCGGATCTTGGCCATCTTATAGATGTCCCTTTCGCCTTCCTTCATGCCTAACCATTGGTAGAGGTTCTCATAAGCCCGACCCCTTGCTTCACTGACAGCTTGTTTGCGGCCTTCTTCGTCATCTTGTACTTCTCCATGTTGTCTGCACTCCTATCCAGGTATAGGTGCACTCCTATCCAGGTATAGGCGTCTGAAACAATCTTTCTTTTTAATCGCCTTCTGGACATCATCATTCCACCACCAGGTATCCTTATCTTCGCTTCTCCTTTCCCTGGACACTCCAAACACCTCCGAGGCCACCTTACGAATGCAAGTCACCATCTTCATCCACACATTGTCCGCATCCTCTCCTTCCTCCCAAGGGCCCTCCTTAATGACCCTCTCCTTGAACGCCTGAGCTACCTCCCCCTTGAGCTTCTACCACTTCGTTCTAGCGACTTTGGCACGCTTATCCCGCTGGACACGAATCCGAAAGCGGAAGTACAACACTCTCTCCAGGTATCACCTTATAGTCTAGGCACACACGCCTATCTTCTCTTCTTGAGAGGATGAAATCAATCTGGCTAGAGTGTTGGCCACTACTAAAAGTCACCAGATGTGATTCTCTCTTTAGAAAGACATCTTCTCCTTCTTGATTCCTGATACCATAGCCAAAGCCCCCATGCACCCGTTCAAAACCTGTGTTAGATGTACCCACGTGGCCATTGAGGTCTCCTCCTATGAAGAGCTTCTCGCCAATCGGTACACTCCTAACCATGTCTTCCAGACCTTCCCAGAACTCCCTCTTGGTGTTCTCATTGTGGCCTACTTGCGGGGCATGCGCGCTGATAACATTGAGAACTAAGTCCCCAACTACCAGCTTGACCAGGATAATCCGGTCCCCACGTCTCTTGACGTCTACCACCCCATACTTGAGGCTCTTGTTGATCAAGATGCCTACGCCATTTCTGTTTGCAGCCGTCCCCGTGTACCACAGCTTGAAGCCGATATCCTCCACCTCCTTTGTCTTCTGTCCCCTCCATTTGGTTTCTTGGACGTAAAGGATATCAACACCTCTCCTCACCGCTGCATCAACTAGCTCCCGAAGCTTCCCTGTCAAAGACCCTACGTTCCAGCTACCTAAGCGAATTCTCCTAGGCTCGGCTAGCTTCCTTACCCTTCACACTCGTCGAGTCAAATGCGCCTTCGCACCCTTCGCATGTACAACTAACATATAGCACTACATAAATAGTCGTAAACCAAAGAACATAATTGTTTCTAAATTGTCACATGACATGAAGATTCAAGCATCTAAAATAGGACAACAAAACAGAACAAATTTCATCTTGGACTGTCATAAACTAACAATCAATCCTGATTTAGCTGTAAACATCTATTCTCTGTATTTTGCCTATCTTTTTTCGTAGATGAATAGATAATAAAGAACATAAGATTGAAATGTGCTTTACATGTAGTCAACATTCCCTTGATCTCAACGAAAAAGTAGTTGATTATTAAATTTTACCCAAGACTTTCTTTCGGTGAGCTTCCAATTTTTACTGGACCCAAAAATGGTATGTGTGTATACTTGTGCGGTGTACTACCTCCGTCCGGGATTATAGGTCTGGCTAGCCAGCGAGCGCCGTCCCGACTTATTAGGCCTCCTATTTTATAGCGCTGGGCATGCAAGCAAAGAGCAGTAAAAGGCTGCTATTCATTGGATGCATGCGGCTGGTCAGAGAAAGCGTGCAGGTATGTGTGATAAATGGGCTGCTGAAGCGCTGCATTCAAGCTGTTTCATTGGATGCATGCAGGCTTAGCGGGCAATCCAAAGAGTTTATTCGATTAAACAACGGTGCCTTGGTCCTTGAGATATGGCTCACCGGTCCTATAAACCCGGACGGAGGTAGTACTAGGGTTGTAGGGAGATAGGGGAGGGATATATACATACATAACAACTTGAATGTTGAGGAGTCGGGTGCCGTGAGAACATAAATGTAATCATGAGTACAGTTTCAATTCTTCTTATTTTTAGGACAAAATACTGATATACGATCTATGTTCTGCATGCAGATATGGTGGTATATACCTTGACTCTGATATTATTGTACTCAAACCATTGAAATCCCTCCGAAATTCTATTGGTACTGTAAAAGAAGTTTCTAGAGGTTCCAGTTTCAGTGGTGCTGTATTGGCATTTGAAAAACAGAGGTAATGATAGTATCATGTGATCTCATATATAACCATTTCCTTTTTTAATTCCTATTTCCCTTACATCTCAAATGGTATCCTATGTATTCATGCGTACAAATTAGGCATCAATTTTGGTCTGTCTAGGTCATACTTGTTGTCTTGGTATGTAATTCAATTAATGACGTGCCACAACGCTTGCAGATGTTCAAAGGACAGAATTTCACATACCTGAATTTTCAATTTAAATTACGAAGACACATGGATTGTTCAACTATATATTAGCAGTCCATCTCTTTTTAAGGGTAGTTGGATAAACTAGATAATACCCACACGTTGTTGTGGGAATTTATAGCAATAAACTTATAAAGAATAAAAAAAGGGCAGTGTATGTAACTTGGTTTCTTTGTCACTCCTTTAATAGATGATATGCACGCTTGTGCATATTCTAGAAAAAAAAGAAAATATAAGAATAATATCTCCATATTCTCGCCATATATATAGAGGTGATTGCACTTTATAGTGACTAGTTTTTCTAGCTTCAGTGAAGTGATTTTTTGCTAAAACAATCGAATGATGTGAGGGGCGACTGCACGTTATAGTGGCTCGTCATTTTCTAGCTTCAGTGAAATGATTTGTTGCTAAAAAGTCAATGATGTGGAGGTCTTGCATGTGCTTGATGATATGGAGGCTTTGCATTTGTTGGAAAATGGAATGTGGAGGTCTTGCGTATGATTGATGATGTGAAGGCTTTGGACATGTTGAAAAATGAAATATGGAGGTCTTGCATGTGCTAGAAAAATAAATAGTGAGTTTCAACTATTTAAGAACATGCATATAGAGAGGATCAGAGAAATAAAATTAGTGGGGTTGATGAGGTGGCATGCGGGCATGTTGAGGTAAATAGAAGTTGTGGAAATCAACTCTTTAAGTATACAGGATAAGTTTCATCTATTATGTCATTTGAAAGATGTTAGAAAAACCTTCACATTAGCTCTCAGAGGCCAGAAATTCCTTAATTGGAGGGCAGCCCCAGTGCATGTAGCTCCTGCTTGCGCAGGGTCTGGGGAAGGGTCCGACCACTTTGGGTCTATTGTACGCAGCCTTTCCCTACATTTCTGCAAGAGGCTGTTTCCAGGACTTGAACCCGTGACCTCATGGTCACAAGGCAGCAGCTTTACCACTGCGCCAGAAATTCCTTAATTGGAGGAAACAAAGAAATACAGTATCTAGATTGCTTATTGGCGGGTGTAGATTATGGCGGTGCAGACAATAACTGCTACATTTGCAGGAAAAATCTAATAGATATATTTTAGCCATAAGCATTAGAGTTGTATAATACAGCTATGTTTACTAATATGGAGTATATGTATTGTAATCGCATCTAGCCGTATTGGTTGTTGGGAAATGTGGCTAGCTTAATTAAAATTAGACAAAGTTAATGCTATCCTATCATGTAACAGGGACACAAATAGTTACAACACAAAATCCTAAAATCATAATTTTGGATGTTCTGTCAAGGCATTAACAACTTGAACATGCAAAATTTTATTGTAGCACAATGTGTTTTATGAGGCTTGGTGTCAAATGCAATGGCTTGAATAATGAATTAACATTCTCAAGCTCTTCTAATACTTCTAACCCATGCATGTAGTTTCATACATTACTTTTGCTGATGCAGCCCATTTTTGCTCGAGTGCCTGAAGGAATGGTATTCAACATATGATGATACTCTCATGCAGTGGAATGGTGCTGAACTTATGACAAGAGTAATAAGAAATCATTCTGACAGTGATCCAAATAGGGAGCACCTTGAGATACAGTTGGAACCCTCATTTACATTCTACCCCATAAATTCTACGGATATCAATAGGTATGTAGTTTGTCCATCCATTGGTCCTTCCATGGTCAGCCAATTTGTTCAGCTTTACTATTTGGAAGTAATATTCTGCTCTAAGCTATACAATTGTTAGTCTATACATCAAGGTTTGATCTCAACCAGCAATATGAACTTTACCAATTAAAATATTTACACTTCTGTTGTAGTACTCTTTCCTCTTGTCGCCCCTTTGTTTCATCAAAGTTGTCTCACACTGCAGAACATTGCCTCATGTTTTCCGACTCTGATGCTCTTGCGAGTTGTAATTGCCGCAATGTTTGTCAATATGCTTCTTGATCCTGAACAGTTATTGCAAAATTCAGTCTCTGGACTTGATGCATGTCAACCATTCCAAAAGTTTAGCATTTAGCATTTACCCCCGCGAAAGAAGTTAACTACTTTGCATATAAGATTGTTAAAGGACTTTTTAAGAAAAAACATGAAGTAACCCTTTTTTCTTCAGATAGCACTGGTTAAATTTGTGGTATGCATGCTCATTGCAGTATTGATGTACTGCAGGTACTTCTCTGAACCAAACAGTACGGCTGAAAGAGCACAACATGATGCTCTGTTTTCCAGGATTCTGAACTACTCTACCACTTTCCACTTCTGGAACAGCATTACATCTTCTCTGGTTCCTGAATCCAACAGTCTTGTTGAGAGAATTCTTAACCATTACTGTCTCCATTGCCTTGATGTTCTATAGTTGGTAGCAACCTGGAGTTCCCACGATGAGCTTCATATTGGTTTAGAATACATATACAGAAGAAATTCGCCAGTCTAATGGGTACAAAATATGGCTAGTATACTGTTGAAGTCTGCCTAAAAAGTGTAACGGGGAAAATATTATGGTGGCATTGTAGATATATATTCTTTTCAACAGGGTATCGGCGGTGATGCTACAACCAAGTGCAATTTTGGTGACTTTGACCCTTTTTGTTGTTGGTGTTGATAGGAAATCTGCTTACTGCAAATATTGAATTCAACAACTTGGGCATTTGAAATTAAGAGGTTTGAGTAAATGAGTGTTTTGATATTCATCTTTTCTTGTTATACTTATATCTTGCTTGCAATCCAGCAAATCATTAGGGAATAACTATTGATGTTTATCTTTTGAATGCTGAAGTACAGTGCAAAAATTATGGCAGGTTACTGAGAACAGCTTTCTCTGTTTCAACAAATCTACCAAATTATTTCTTGAACTTACACTGCTCCACAAATCGGACAAACTATTTTTTGACTTGTTTGATTGAAAGTGGCCAAGGATACGTTTGTAGCACATCCAAGCTAAAATTTTCTATCACCAGATTGCGCAACTAGCACTGACTCCACCCATAGTAGGCGAGGCTCCAGTGCATTTGCACCATGAGCAGCCATAGCACGAGCTACCTTTATTACAAGCCCGTGGGCCAAACGTGAACGTCATATGATTGAAACTTAATCGCAGGAACTGGCGCAGGCTTCAAATCAAACTCAGTGCTCTGAACTGTTTTGGTGCTGCTTCCCCGCAAACAACTTCATAAACCCTTGTGTGTTCGAGATGAAACTCTGGTAATAGGGAGTCCTTTTCAAGACATAGCAAATTTTGTACAATGTCACAAGTTTTTTTTTGACCAAGTTTGTAGAGAAACTATTAGTACCATATGAATTCAGTAGCCGTGGATATTGCCACGAAATATGTTTTGGTGATGTATTTATTTATTATTATAGGGGAGCCTTGGCGCAGTGGTAAAGCTGCTGTCTACACAGGAAAGGGAGTGGTGTGGGCCATATGAGACACGTTGAGCGTGTGCGTTCTACTGGCGTGAGAGTCTGCTGGTCGGCCTATTCACATTATTAATTACAAAAATATTATGATGACACATCTTCGCACCAGAAAAACTTGCACACTTCCTTCAGACGAACACACATCCGAAACGACCTTTTAACTTCTTTTATTTTTTAGGCGAGGGAACACCATCTATAATCTGCCTCATTTTGCATGTTCTTTACGAGCATTACACATAGCACAATTGCGGGTGTTGGTAGTGCATTTATTTAGTATTATGGATGCTTATATTATTTGTCAACTTGGTTGAATTAGAAAATTTTAAATTACAATCAAATTTACGTCTTATATTTTGCTAAGAGACGGTATAATATATTGTTAAGTCTTTAAAGTGTTTAGATATAGTCTTCCTAAAAAAACAACAATAAAGTGTGCACACACACGGTTCATAGGAAAGGGAATGGCGTGGGCCCTACGAGACGTGTTGAGCACGTGCGTTCTACCGGTGTGAGAGCCTGCCAGTCGGCCGATTCACATCATTAATTACAAAAATATCATGATGACACATCTTCGCACCAGAAAAACTTGCCCAGTTTTTCAAACGCACACACATCAGGAACGACCTTTTAACTTCTTTTATTTTTTATAGGCGAGGGAACACTATCTATAATCTGCCTCATTTTGCATGTTCTTTACGAGCATTACACATAGCACAATTGCGGGTGTTGGCAGTGTATTTATTTAGTATTATAGATGCTTATATTATTTGTCAACTTGGTTGAATTAGAAAATTTTGAATTACAATCAAATTTACATCTTATATTTTGCTAAGAGACGGTATGATATGTTGTCAAGTCTTTAAAGTGTTTAGATATAGTCTCCTTAAGAAAAAACAACAACAAAGTGCACACACACACGGTCCACAGGAAAGGGAGTGGTGTGGGCCCTACGAGACGTGTTGAGCACGTGCGTTCTATCGGCGTGAGAGCCTGCCGATAGGCCGATTCATATTATTAATTACAAAAATGTCATGATGACATATCTTCGCGCTAGAAAAACTTGCACAATTTTTTCAAACGGACACACATAACTTCTTTTATTTTTTATAGGTGAGGGAACGCCATATATAATCTGCCTCATTTTGCATGTTTCTTACGAGCATTTCACATTAGCACAATTGCGGGCTGACCCAATTAATACAACCAGACTAGATACTTGTACCACACGAAACACTGTCCACCTGAGAATAATGAACCATCGGTGTCCAGACAGTTTGGTGTTGAGATTCCTGGATTTTTTTGGACTTAGAGTTTGTAGGAAAATTATATTAGTAATACATACACCACATACTTTCACGTCATAAATATTTGTTGCTGTAAATGTTCGCACTGTTTTCTTTATACTTGGTCAAATTTTATAAAATTTGATTTCAGTCAAAGCTAGTATGCGAAGTAAATAAAAACGGATCGACCTAGTATTTTGCCAAGAGGGGGTATAATACATTGACAAGTCTCAAAGTGCTCAGCTATAGTACACACACTGACACACACGGTCACCATTGTATATACATCCCACTCTCATGAAAGGCGCTCCATCATTGGCTTGTCGAACAAATACAGTACTCCTAATTCAAGCGCAACGGTTAACTTACTTTAGAACGGCAATTTATTGGTGCGAGGAGAAAGTAAACATGCAACATGATACACGTAGCGCATCTATCAGCTCGTAATTTAGGCGGCCGCTGACATCCTCTTTCTGCTGTAGCGGACCATGGCCTTCCCCTTGGGCCCCGGCATGACCACGTTCCAGTCCGTCCCGGGGAACGGCGACATCATCTCCATCTCGAAGTTCCTCAGCAGGTGGCTCCATATAACCTTGATCTGCATATATGCGAATGCCTCACCAACGCAGGCGTGGCGCCCGCCACCGAAGGCCGTGTACGAGAACGCTCCGCCGGCCACATCCTCCGCTCTGGCGGGGCCGAACCGGTCCGGCTCGTACCTCTCCGGGTCCATGTACACATATGAGAGACGGTTGTGGAGCACCAGCGGGCTCGCGACGGTACGCCCCTCCGGGATCTCGTACTCGTCACCCTCCCTGGTCCGCACGGTGAAGCTCCGGCGCGCGTGACGCAGCAGCATCATCGCCGGCGGGTGGAGCCGCAGAACCTCCTTGACGCAGCGGTGGAGGGTGTCCATCTCCTGTAGAACCTCGTAGTCGACGCGGTCCCCGTGCCGCGCCACGATCCGCTCCTGCTCCCGGATGGCGGCGCGCAGGTGCTCGGTGTTGGCGCGCGCGAGGAGGCGCGCTCCGGTCCACGTGCCCGTGCTGGAGCTTGTGTGCTGCCCCGCGAACAGCGCCGAGACAAGCATCCCGACGACCTCCGTCTCGGTCGTGGCGCGGCCGTCTTTGTACCTGGAATCGATCAGGCACTGCAGAATGTCATCCGGACCACCGTCGGGGTAGCCTGCTTTGCGGGAGCTGACGATGCTGGAGAATATCTCGCCGAGCCTAGCACGCGCCCTGTCGCGTCTACGGTGCGCCGGGATGGGCAGGTGCGGGAACAGGATGGTGACGAGGCGCATGCCGTCGTTGAGTTCACGGAGGTGCGTTGCGACTTCGCCGAGCATCTTGGCCCGGACCTCCTCCCCGAACAAGCACCGGCTGGCTACGAGCGTGACGAGCTGCTCTAGCTCCTGCTTCAAGTCAACCGTGCCGGACTGTCCCCATCTCGCAAAGTACTCCTGCATGTGTAACATACACAAGTACGGAGTACACATCAGATCAGAATTACTAGCACACGCGCGCGCGCACATGTATATGTTTGCAATAGTTAACAAGAAAATCAAGGCTACTAAACATGTCATCTTATTTCTTACCTCGACTTCGCGCACCATCAGTCCGGCGTAAGTCCTGAGCTTGGCCGGCTTCATGGCGTCACCAAAGAAGCGGAACTGCTCGCGGCGAGTAGCGAAGTCCACGTCGAAGGCGACGCCGGGGCCGAAAGTCGGAATGGTGAACTGGGAGACCTCGTCCTGGCTAATCTCCAAGTCCAGCCCTTGGTAGAAATGGCTCGACACGTCTGGCCCAACCAGGAAGGTCACCTTGTGATGCAACAGTCTCACCGTGAACACGCTCCCCATCTCCGTGTGGGCGTCGCGGATCACTTGCAGGGGGCCCTTGGTGAGAAGCGCCGGGAGGATCCCAAGAAGGGGAGCCCCTGCGGCCATGGGCGGTGGAGAAGGTGATCGCTTCATTGTCTGGGAGAACGTCGGTCGTCGTCAGGCCATCATTGTCGACACGATGGCCACGAAAATAGCAACACATGCTACCCAGAGGACTCTTGCTAAATCCATGTCTGCAATCCAGATGCTATTGGAACTAATCCTGTAAGAACTCTGGCAAAGAAAAAATCCATAAGAACCATAGTTTTAAATTAGGAGCTATGCCAAATAGTGGCATCCTTCTCAAACAGCTAGTATAACGCGGGTATAGCGGGGCTATAACCCTCTATTTTGTAACTTTACCAAATAAAATTATAAATATCATTCAGCATCACCCTGCTCAAGTCTCTATAGCGTGACTACATCACGGTTATTTAAAACTTTTGGTAAAAACATGGTAAAATGATTCAGTACTTGCCCCATCACTAATTAAGTTGGTTTCGAAACATCCATATGGCAACACTTCTGTTTGCTGCCATGCTAAATTGAATATCCATATTGCGGACATAAAATGTTTTCATTATATTATAGCGATGCAAATTATTAGTGTACTTTCTTAGAGTTTTTCGGGTGATATTCATCCGTTTGTTATTAGCACTCGTGGTCCCATGCTTTCTCTATACCTACCTGGAGTACTGCCAGAAACATGATCCAATTTTCCCAATGGCCTCATGCATCCATCAATCAATAAAGTAAATTGCCCTAGTGGCCTTT